AAATGCCAAGCTGTCTCCCCCCAACTGGGGGGCACGCGTGTGTGTGCAACATGCTAGGAACAAGCATGAAAATACTTGAGTCAGCAAGCGCCATCGTTGGAGCTGTTCGCGGGAATCTGCAACCTACCGTGCGCAACGAAGCTACGGTTGCAGATGGGAAGGGAACTGGGATGCCAGCTCCTATACCTGCTCGTGGTGCAAAGTCTTTTTGGTCGCCCCCCTCAACTCGCTGTTGGTTGTCGTGGCCCTTTTAAAGTCACTAGAGTGAAGCTTGATTTCCAGACTTTGCCATTTCAGACAGTTTCGGACCGCGCTGAGGACAGCTTTTTCCATTTCCAATTTTCCATTTTCCATTTCCTTTTGCACGACTCGCTAGGAGCTGAGGTTTCCCCATTTAATGACTACCTGCACTTCTCCAGATGTGACTCAAAAATAAGCAGTGTGTCTGTGTGTGTGTGTGGCTGTGTGTGTCTGTGTCTGTGTGCGTGTCTGTGTGTGTGTGTGTCTGTGTCTGTGTCTGTGTCTGTGTCTGTGTCTGTGTCTGTGTCTGTGTCTGTGTGTTGTTTCTTGTTTCTTGTGTCTGTGTCTGTGTCTGTCTGTGTGTGTGATTGTGTGGGTGTGTGCGTGCGTCCCTGCGCGCTTGCATTCGTGCGTGCGGTGCGTGCGGTGCGTGCGGTGCGTGCGTCCCTGCGCGCTTGCATTCGTGCGTGCGGTGCGTGCGGTGCGTGCGGTGCGTGCGGTGCGTGCGGTGCGTGCGGTGCGTGCGGATTGTGCGTGCGTGCGATCGGCGTAAGATTGGTTTGTGGTTGGCGTGCAATCGGGATGCGGTCGGTGTGCGGAAGGCGTGCGATGGCGTGCGGTAGGCGTGCGATGACGTGCGACGGCGTGCGAAGGCGTGCGATGGCGTGCCATGGCGTGCCATGGCGCGCGATGGCGTGCGATGGCGTGCGATGGCGCGTGATGACATGCGATGGCGCGCGATGGCGTGCCATGGCGTGCGTGTGCGCGTGTGTGTGTGGTGTGTGTGTGTGTGTATGCATGTTTGCGTGTCTGCGTGTCTGCGTCTCTGTGTCTTTGTGTTTCTGTCTCTCGTGCCTTTGTGTGTCTATGTGTCTTTGTGTCCGTGCGTCTGTCCGTGTGTCTGTGTATGCGTGTGTCTCCGTGTCTTTCTCCCTGTGTCTGTGTGACAGTCTGTGTGTGTCTATGTGTGTCGGTGTCTGTCTGTATGTCTGTGCCTGCCTGTTTGTCACTGTGCCTCTGTGTCTGCTTGTGTGTCTTTATGCCTCTGTGTGTGTGTGTGTGTGCCACTGTGGCCGTGTTTGCTTGTCTACGTCTCTGCTTGTGTCTGCGCCTGCGTGTGTAGCCACATGGTTTGAGCGCAACAAGTGTCGTATGGTTTCTCTTGGAAAGACCCTTGGACAGATTCAAAATGCAGGAAAAACTGAAAAGTCATCCACACATAGAGTGCTGCAAAAATGTCAATACCCAGCAGCAGAGCTTCAAGCTCTCTTGGCGTGTCCTGTAACATGGTTGAGGGGTATCTTCCTAGGCGCCCAGTGCCTTCTTCGCGTCTACCAATGGCTGTGAATTTTAGTAGAGGGCCCTTTTTTGGTGGACGTCACTTTGCTTGGGATTCATGTCCACCTACCACTTTGGAGGTGGTTCCCTGCTAAAAGTTCACAGACAGGCGGCTTCCTTGATGGTCTTGCAGTCCCATTCAGGGGCAACAAGGGTCCCGTCTGGGAGCACCATCCGCAAGTCGGTGCCAGGCTGCCTGAGGTTCTGACATGCAATTCACAACCCATGACTCGCTGCTTGACGGGACCTGTTGCAACCATGAGCCACACAAGGCACACACACATCCCCATGGCTGCAGAAAAGTGTCCTCATAGCCTCTGCGAATCGAGCCTAGGCATCTACGCGTGCTTTCCGAGCACTGTGCGCGGCATCTGCGCTGAGTTGAACTCGGAGGCATGAACGCCCCGTGATGCCAAGCGGCACGCAGGTCTGCAAAGCGGTCCTGGTGGCCAACTCAATCAATGAATGTGGGCATGGGTCAAAAAAAAACCACCAGGGGACCGCAGGTTTTAGTCTTTGGTTCAATTTATCAGGGCAACCCATTTTGGGTACGCATATTTGACCCAGCCGTGTAAGAAGAAAGAAGCGACTGAGAACCGGCTGGCTTTCTCGGTCCTGATGGGCTAAGTCAATTCGAGCGATTTCTTCTCCCGCGAGATTGATGCCCCCAATCAGCAGCCGCTCTGCGCGGGAGAGGATGGCCAGCTGGACCTTACCAATGCCAGACTTCCCGCTCAGTCCCTTCCAAGAAAACGGTGTACTTCAAACTGTTGATGACATGCACTGGGTTGTTGGAAACTCACACTGAGTTGCGGGCAGCCAGCAGGGAGCAAAACTGCATCTCAATTCTAACAAGAACCGTTTGGCTCCTGGTCGTCTCAGTCGGCTCAGTGTGCTTTGTCTGCCTTTACGTTTTGCGGAGTCCTCCAACGAAGTGGCCCAGCAGGCGGGCTTTGCTGCTGGCAATTGTACCGCTGGTCTAGCCTAGCAGTCTCTCTCTCTCTCTCTCTCTCGTCAATTCCTGCTCCAAGAGCCACATCTTGGCCTCTGGCAGCACTAGGTAAACGTTGCCTCGCTGCTCCGCATCCTTCCGCAGCTTCTCCATCTGGTCGTGCACGCTCCGGCCTTTCGCCTGGCACCGAAAAACGCCGAAACGCGGCGACGAGAGGAAAAACGAACAAACGCCACACGCCCGCGGCCTCCAGGCGAAACTCGGAGAGCGACGGCGGCCTGCCGCAACCAAAGTGCCGTGCCAGGGGGGTGTTGCAAAGTTCAAACTCCGGGGCATCTTCTCAATGGGAACCTGTTTTGCTAATTTTCCGGGGCGGTTTACGCGGAAGGGGAAACCACCATGCAGTGGCACGAACAAACAAGAGACAAATACATTTAAAGGGTTTCTGCCTCCTTTCAATCGCCAAACCATGGAAATTGCGCCTGCTGTACCTCCTGGAGGATGCAGCATCTGTGTTCGCCGTGATGGAACTTGTGGTCGCTCCGGCGTGGTCAAAGTTTCTGTTCAAGAAGCCTGGGCACCGGGTCGCTCCAAAGATACGGGTAGAAATTCGGTAGCGAATTCAAGGGAAGCCGTTCCCAACGTGCTAGCGTTCCATCTCGATCTTTTAGGAAGGGCTCGGAGCAATTCGTCTGGCGTCGTTCCCAAACTGGAAATGCAGGAAGGGGGTCTTTTCCTGACTCGTGTGCGACCAGGCAGCCTTGACCCGTGCTCCACTCTGGTTGAGCTTTCAATGCCTCCCCTAGAGAGCCGTTGAGGCAAATCGCCTCCACCTTCGCAACGCGGCAAGTCTCCACCTTGGCGCAAGTCGCGCTGGCCAAGCTGCGCTCTGTGACACATAACCGCGAACCAATACCAAAACCATGGCAAGCTGGATTTTCTATCAAAACTGTTCAGAATCCAAGCGAGCAGAACCCCAATTTTTATTGCCCAGACTCCTCCGCGAACATGTTGTCGTTCAGGAAACCGACCTCAGCCCAGGGAAGTGTCCTCGCACGACAGCCATGCACTAATACGGTGCCACCGCTGGCCAGAATTGGGCGGCATGGTTTTATCGCGCAACTCTAGGCTCATCCAAAGGGTTGTTCACAGCTGCCTTCGTCTCGAGTGTTCGGAGCCATGAGGCATTCAGAGCCAGTCACTGTTGCTGGTTTTTTGGGGCAAAGTAGATGGAAAAGAGCAATCGCAACTGGCGATCCAGGTACTTCAGATATGGCCCGCTGGTGTCTTAGCCGTCCTTTCCACGCCTATGCGCAGAAACAGAGACAATCCCCGGGCCGTGGGTCACGGAAGGCGACTTTCGCCAAAGAAGGCTCGGAACTGCGAGGGGAGAAGGACGCAAGTTGCAGCTCAGCGACCATGTGTTTTTTTGAAGGAATTCTAGAGGTTGTTATGTGTGCACATCAAAGCAGTGACATTTTTCTGCGAATCCTGTGAACATGCGGCAATACCGGCAATCATGTGTCAAAATCTGCCAAAACTCTCAGATCGCGTGGGCCAAGCTGCTAGGTCTTTTTGATCGGCTGCTATCCTGCGGCAGATCACCTGCGGTGCTGCGAAACCGCGGGTCTCGGCCACAGTCAGCCCAGCCTGCCAAGAGGCAAAGGCGCAGGCTGCCCATCCCAACCAGCAAGACAGCCTAGGCGCAAGTAAAAGTGGAACCGCCTTGCCGCAAATGCGGCATGTCAGTTTTGAAGGGAAGACTGCCGAGAGGCTGCTGGCAAAGCTCCAGCTTGAACTCCCAGTCAGCCGGGCTTTCTTGCTCATTGCCTCTGAACTCATCCTGGAGCGCTGCGTTGAAGCATTGGAAGCGAACTCTTGAGGTCCCTCCCTTGCCCAACCAACAAGATTTCGGACACTCTGGTCAACCATGCACATGTGCAGGCAAAGCAAACATCAAGGAGCATCAAGTCGGCAAAATCCTGTACTCTGTGCTCTTTCAAATGTCTGTGCTCCCTTCAAGCTCTTACGCTCAACTCCTCGCTGTCTATGGCGTGCTGCGATGTCCACTGCAACACCTGAGAGTCTGCGTGCTCGAGTCTGCAGAATATGTCTGTGGGTCCAAAATGGGTACCCAAAATAGGAACCCTGGTAAATGGAGACATGAACTAAAACCTGCGGTTCCTGGTTCACTTTTGGCCCACACCCATATGGCCTTTCGACGTTGCCTCAACCACCTGCCTCGTCAACTGGCCGGGACAGCACAGTCGCCGGGCGAGTGGGCAGCTGCATCGGAGCTACCCTGCCCTAGGTAAGGTGCTGTGGTTTTGTGGCCTAGCTTGGCTATGGTTGAAACTCTCTGTGCTGAGCCCTCGAGCTGCGCGCATGTCCAAACTTCCGCACCATGGCCAACGCAGCCGCAACTTGCATGCGCACAAACACCCCAATCGGATCAACGCAAGGTCCGCGCCCTCTGCATCGAAGGAAAGTCCCAGATCTTCAGCGTCCGGTCCTCGCGAACTGGGCGAACCCATCGCTCGCCGTCATTCCCTCGCCCACTCTGCGCTCCTTGGAGGCAGTCAGGAGCCGCCGGGGAGCATCCAGCCACTTCACCTGACCCGGCCACCTTTGGATTCGACTCATTCGAGGTCTCTGGGGCCCAGGCCGCCGTGACGGCATCGGCATGCGCCTGTGACGCTTCTCCGGAGTGCTCCGCAGCGCGTGCGACAATTGCCGTAACTTGAAGTTGGCATGAGAAGTTGGGCAGGTGAAATAACTCTTGAAAAGTTGGCACGAGAAGTTGGCAGGTGAAGTATTTCTCGAAAAGGTTGGCATGAGAAGTTGGGCAGGTGAAGGATTTCTCGAAAAGTTGGCAGGCGAAGTTGGCAGGTAAAGTTGACAGCCGCTTTTAGAAAAGGCTACATTTCATACCACAATTGTACTTATAAGTTGCGGTTCTCGAGCCGGAGCTGGGGGGAAACACTTCGAGTACTACTTTTGTATTCAAAAGCTACGATTTTGTTGCCGGAACTGCGGGAATATTCTTTGCGCACTCTTTTGCGCCAGAGCCAGGGCCATGGGAATGCGCCCCTGGCTCTACTTCTTTTTGTACCCAAGAGATACAATCTTCAACCCTGAGCTGCGGGAACTTTCTTCGCATGCTGCGGGAATCGCACTTGAAACATGCGTTTAAAGCTTAACCAGGCTGGCACGCGCTTGTTGCATGACCATGGTTCGTCACAGAACAAGCTTTGATCTCGCATGCGTCACAACCGGCAGCGGCAAGCCAACTGGCCAAACAATACTTGCGTGCCATGACGCACATGGAGCGCTGCGACGTCTTGAGCTGGGGTGTTACCAAACTGTTGGCATCAGTCTGGCCAACATGTAGCACCAGTTTCAAAAAATGTCAAGATTGCACCGTCCATGTGTCTATTTGTGGGTTCACTCATTGGCTCTGCAACGCCATGGCAAGTTTGCATCGATTGTTCTTTACGCACAGGCAGCGTGGAGCTATGCGTGAATACTCTGCACCGCCCGCACGATCTTTCCTTCAAGGCAGCCGGCAGGGTTGTCTGACCTGCCTGAATGGCATAGCTCGGCTCACCCTGGTCAAGGTCAAAAATGACCACCTCAGCTCAAGGTTCAACATGGCCTTGGCCGCGGCCCTCCCTGTCACACCACGTCGGCTTGAAACCCTGGCTAAAACCAGTCGTGGCATTCCAGTACGAGGCTTTCCCAGAAAGTGCGACACATCCTTGCACGGACAGGCCAGCTCAAGCCAGCTAAGGTCCAGCATGCGCAAGATGAAACAAGGCAAGGCAACATCACGGGAAGGTCGACCTGAAAACAACACTCGGCGCTTTGCGGCGACATTCCCAGGCTGATGGACAATGAGACCATGTTTTGGATGGCAGAGACATAGGTCCAAATCTGAAGTCTCAAGGAGCACTACTAGCCTGGGCTTCAGGGCTGGCTACTGTGCTTACACCCCGCCAAGGCTCCCAGCATACTGACTTACCCGGGTGTTGGGTTTAGCATTAACTGTGCTTCCTCTGGCAAATACCTTCCGAATGAGGAGGCGCCTGTCTGTGCCGACTCTTGCTCCCTCTGAGGCTGGGACGCAAGCCCCCTCTAAGTGTCCGACAGCACCAGTCTCGAAACCCGCAATGATCTCTCGCGATGACTGCGCCTGAGTTCCAAGCCATGGAAAGCAGCACGTGGACCCTGCTTTTTGCGATTGTGGTTTCTGGGTTTGCTTGTCCCTTCTTGCATGCAAACCCTCCAGCCCACCTGGATTGCAACAGCTTCAGCGTTTCCATTGGGCCAGGCTTTGTTTCTTCTGTTGCTCCAGCCGGAAATTCCCGCCGAACAGCCCTCAGAGAGCGCCCAAGGCACCGAGGCCCCAAGGTCCAGGCCCAAGCGATGGCGCTCGGGGGCTCCATGTTCGTGATCTGCCCCAGCTTTCGTCCCCAGCCTGGCCAGAGTCACATGAGGTGTGGGCCAAAATTGAACCAGGGGACCGCAGGTTTTAGTTCATGTCTCCATTTTTCAGGGTTCCTATTTTGGGTACCCATTTTGGACCCACAAACACATGGCGCAAGCCGCCGGCCGCCAGCCCCCAGCACTGCGCAATCAGTGCATGGCATGTGCTTCATGGTGGCATGTGCCAGTCCCGTCGCTTCGAGAAGCCTCCCATGTCCGACGTCTTCACCGTCCACAGCGAGATGCCATCCTTCGACCTCGGCAGTCCCTTCCGGCAGGACGAACAATAACCTTCATGGCCTGACCCATTTGCCGGTGCGACCTTTTCACCTCTGGACCTGGCAACTGATCTCCGCGTGCTTTGAAAGGAGGCCTGATAGCGATTGCCCTCTAGGGTGCCAAAATTATGGGACCCTAAAAATGTAGCTTCTCTTTTTGGTTTCCATGACCAAGGTGAGACTGGCACCCTTTAAAACCCGCGGATTCGCGTCAATCCGGGGCCACCCTGCCCTGTGAAGAGCGTCCCAGTGCTCGAGTCGTAGTCCATGGCAGTGACTGGATTGCTCGAAGGGGCGCCTCGTGTCTCTCGGAAATGCAAGGACATCTTTATGGGGGCCATTAAAATGGACCAAGATAGGAAAACCAAAAGGTCAAAAGGTCAATTTCGCTTTGGTCAACTGAGATCTTTGGTGCCCTAAGGCCCTAAGGGTTTCGATTTCATTTCACGTGCTGTCCCGGTTCGGTTGGGGGTCATGACCCTTGGAGTGGGTACCCTGGGTGCGGTTTCACCGGGAACCGCAGCGGGGGGGCCCCAAATTGGGGAGGCAACCGGGGTTTCCCTGTAGGCTCGGGTAGTTTGGAGGATGTCAGCAAGAAAGGACCCCCAAAAATCAAATATGCAGAAGAAGAACATCAGAAGCAATTGATTCAACGTGCACACCTTGCCGGCTGAGAGTTTTGAGCACTTGGAACTTGGATCCCAAAGATCCCCAAAGATATATGAGCCACGGTCAAAATGTGTTGCTTCCCCATGTGGATAGGGGGAAACAGAGTACGTCGCATGTGTTAATTCTGTGGGAAAAGGAGTGGGTCGCCTATGTCCGACCAGCAACGTTGACCGAAGCTCATGGGTGTGAACTCCAAAAGGGCGCCCTTTGACATCGAACTCGGTCGGGGCTCATGTCCACCAATCGGGTTTGAGGTGATTCCAGTTTCAAATGACAAATGCAACAACGTAGCCATTGAAGGCGAAGCCATGTTTGCTCTAAGCCGCCCGCCATCTGGCACGGTTGCAATCTTCTGCAGGGGAAGGACCGACGTGTCCCACACCTTGAAAGGGCGATCCAACCGTGAAATCCTACCTGTTGGAAACAAGAACGCCTGACAAACAACACCATTGATCTTGAAGTCTTGCCTTCCGCTGCATCCTTGAACAGCCCTTGCAAGCTTGCGCTGTGGCTACAGGCTTTCCTTCATTCTGGAGCAGGGAAGCCCAACCAGGCTTGCGCTAGAACAGGATTCCATTCAGCAAGCTGAGCGCCCCACAACGACAAGCCCGTTCTTCAAAGAGGTGAAGAGTCGTCGCTGCTCCTGCCACCATTTTTGGAACTGAAGTTGTCTGCAGATTTTGTGAAGCTTACACTCCGAATGATCTGGCAGGCTGTCGACTTTCGACAAGCAAACAACTGTGCCACCCTGCAACCAAGCGCCACTATTCTTCACCGCTCGCCGAGGATGAGAGCAGTTCAGTTGGAAGCAGCCTGCTATTTCCCTGCGCTCTCCTCAAGCCTACAGCAGCGCGCTATTGAGCGGCTGCGTTTTCGGGCGGGATGCCTTTGTCCTGAGGTGGTGGTAGCTGTTTCTTTTCCTGAAGGCCTTTAAGGGCCAGCCCGAAATGCATGCAACAACCGCTGCTGCGCAAGCAGCTCACGGCGACTTCGGATACCAGCTCTTTCGCCTGAGCCGGATCTCTGGGATCGTCCGGCGATAACGCGCGTTCCACAAGCTCTTGGCCGACGCAAAACGTTGCCAATTTTCGCCGCAGCCTGAACTGCTGTCCACATTTCTGAGCGCAAGATCTGGACGCCGAGGGAGTCTGTGCAAGGAGCAGCCTCAAGATGTGAGGCAGTGAGTTGACGCATGGACGATGGACCTTTCAAAGCAAAGCGGGACACTTTGCGCTGGTTTGACTGCGGCCAAGCTTTGGAAGGCACGAACAAAGAAGCCAAAACAACCGACCAGCCAGCCAGCCAGCCAGCCAGCCAGCCAGCCAGCCAGCCAGCCAGCCAGCCAGCCAGCCAGCCAGCCAGCCAGCCAGCCAGCCAGCCAGCCAGCCAGCCAGCCAGCCAGCCAGCCAGCCAGCCAGCCAGCCAGCCAAACAAACAAACAAACAAACAACTATGCGAGAACACACGCACACACAAAAAGCGCAGAGCGAGAGGGCTTAATAGCGCTTGCTGCCAAGCTGCGAGGAGCACTCCTCTGGTGCTGCCTGCTTCTGCTGCACATCTCCGCTGCCTCGGATCCGAATTCGCCGAAGAGTCACTCCGCACAGCTTGCTGGATGTGCATCCAATGCGGCTTTCCTTATCCTGCCACCAGCTAACATGGAGGTGCACAGACCCCTGGTAGAAAGACTACTTTCCTCTTGGAATGGGCCGGTTTGCACTTCCAAGTTAGTTGGTGGGAGGGTAACCAAGATGAAGGGGGTACCCTCAAAAAAAAAGCCTCAAGGGTATTCCAATTTTGGGGGTCACGTTGAACCAAAGGATGCGTCTTGATTGAGGGTACCATTCTTGAAGGGGCACGAAAGGGAACGCATCCGTGTTTGAGGTTCCTCCATGTTAAGCCCACGTGTTGTCCTTCTGCCAAGAAGGGGGAAACAGGGAAATCTAGCCCGTCCCGATGAATGAGCTTCAATTGGGGGAGCTTGGGTGCACATCATATCGTGCTGTCCCGTGTTGAAACTTCATTGCCCGTTTCTTTGCAGGGGGCCCACTTTCCGGTTGCCTTTCGAGCTGCAAAAGTTGCAGCTTCCAGTGCCAGAGAAGCCAACTTCCCCGGAGCTACATCGACAGCATGCCGCAGACCTTGCGATCCGAAGGAACCGATCTCAGACCAACCCGGTGAAAATCAAGGGAATCATTCTTCCTGTTTTCCTACTGTGGATGGACAAAATCCTGCACCACCTGAAAAAAACCCTGGAATGATTATTCCCTTGTAAATACCAACAAACAATGGTTTAAATGGCATTCCATGGCTTCTTTGGTGGTGCGGGATTTCGGCCATCCACAGTATGACCAAGAAACGGATGTTAGCCCGGCCGCAAAGACATAAATATGGGTTGGGATCGTTCCCCACTTCCTCGAGGGCTTTAACATGTTTTAAATGAACCTCGCCTGCCCTTTGCTTTTGTGCGAGCTCATGACAAGGCCAAGGCCCAAGCGAAGAGCCTGTCGATGCAGCCTCACCTCTTGGAACGGCCCAGGTCCGCGTGCACATGACACAAATGGTAAACATGCTACGTTCAGGTTTAGAGAGTGCAGTTCTTTTTGCTGCTGGCTAGGCTAGGGTGTTCTTATCTGTAGTCCGGGCAACGCGTTGCAACACATTGAGACACTGCTGTTGCTGTTGCCTTCAGACTGACCTTGGCCTTCATGCCGCCCGCCTGTGGTGCCTCTCTCCCTTCGAGCGTTAGCCTGGTCAGACATCACCACAGAGGCGCACGCAACGCTCGGCCCTCTGCCTGGTTCAGCGCCCCATCGGTCTCGGATCGGTTTTCTGATGCACTCGACGCCAAAAGGATGGATCTGAGAGCGGTACTTGGGGTATGGTGACATGACCGTGGGCATCCTGTCGTGCCATGTGGGTAATGGGTCAAAATTAAACCACCAGGATATGGACCGCAGGTTTGAGTCCTTGTTTCCATTTACCAGGGTTCCATTTTGGGTACATATTTTTGACCCACAGCCATGTCCTTCTCACTGCCCCAACATACGAAGCTCCCAGCCATGATTTCCTCCCCATGCCAATGCTTACAGCCCCGTTCCTCCGTGGCCAAGGTCACAGAGAAGCTTGAAGTTGGGTCCTTCTGGGTCTTCAGCTGCAGTGCGCTCCTTATGGGGCCACGGTTGAGCGAATCGAGAAAATGTGAATTTCTGGGTTCCAATCCTGGGCATCACAAATTTCACACATCGACCCCTCAACAAAGCCGTTCCACACACACACACACACTACAAACTTCGCCCGAATCACCCTTCAGACCCTTGCGGCCGGGGCCCGCACAGCGCACACCCTGCGATGTCCTCCTCACACTCATCTGCAGGCAAGGAGGCCTCGACCTAGCGGTCGTCACGGGCACATGTGTCAATCAAATGCAAATGGACCTTATTAATAGATTGATTCATTGCTTGGCATTGCTTAGATGATCTTAGATGATTGATTAACTGACTACTTGGTTGGTTGGTTGCTTGCTTGCTTGCTCGCTCGCTTGCTCGCTTGGTTGGTTGCTTGATTGATTGCTAGCTGACTGATTGCTTGATTGCTTGATTGATTGATGGATGGATGGATGGAAGGAATGATGGGTGGATGGACGGACGGATGGTCTAGGATGCCTGAGGTACCAATCGCAATGCGCACGCCTCAGCTGCTGTCACCAAGGACGCCAAAGCGCAAAGGGCCGTCCAGTGGCGCATGGCGCGCAGAACGCTTTTGGCAGTCCAGCTCGTGGGATTGAGCCAAAATGGGCCTCTGACAGCGCCAGTTGCTCGTTTTTTCTTGGGAACGGGGAATTTGTGCATTACCCCTTTGCCCAGAGCTACAAAGCCAGTGATCGTGGACACGCACCACGTAGGCATGGAATGCCATGCGAGATGGATTCAATCTTGGCCAGTTCAGGTGGTTTTGGGATCCCCAAGAGGCGCCGCATGGACTTTACCTGGCCCCCATCCTGACAGTGGAACATCTGCGTTGGAGGCGCCGGCGCTTGCACCTGAGACTCGTCCACGTGTTTCAGCACGGCGCGGTGGGTTCGCGGGCCTCGCATTGAATCATCTGCCGCTTCAGGTCAAAGACAATGATGGCCTGGCACAAGGCGCCAGTAAGGCGCTAGCAAGGTATGGAGGTGTTAAGGCGTTGGTGTGCGCGGAGGGCCGTGCCTTGTCGCTGCTCGCGGAGAACAGCCACTGCTCCGTCTCATCTAACGCCAGGGCGACCACCTCGCACGCGTTGTTTTTTTCTCCGTGACTTCGGCTGAGATTCGCCGGCTGGGGCTGCAGCTCCGGCGGTGTGCCGCACCAACGGCAGCACCTCCCGTTGTCACTAGGAGCGCTGTGGGGTCTCGCGTCTCGCGCCGTCTCTCTGGGTGCGGGGCTTGGCCAGCGCCGCCAGTCGCACCACGCTCGCTTTTCATGGGGAGCACGCCTTGCTCACATGACAGCCAATGGCAGCCAACGGGTTGGCTTCTTTGAGGGCACCTTGTTTGTGGGAAGGCCGGAGGAAAGCCGGCATTTTGGGCGCCCCCCCCTTTTTCTCACATCTCATATGCTCCCAAATGGGCCATGAAGCTGTGCCCCGGGCCAATGGTGCCATCACTCAAGCCAGCGAGACACGACGCCTGGCTTGCCATTTCCTTGATTTCCCTGGACTTAACCGCCAGGGTATCCCGGAAGTCAAGCAGCCCGGAACTTCCCACATTCCAACTGAAGACATCCCCCACAAAAGGAACCTTCTTTATGGGTGCACTCGTGTTACCTGGTGAGCTCATAGCCGATCATCGGATGTGCAGTTGCAGGTCACATGCCTTGTCCCTGCAGTTAGCCATCAGCACGCAAGTGATGAGCGCTGTGAATCGGTTCCTGCCAAAGTGGAGGAAGCTTGACATCAGCCACGTATGGATTGTTTCCAATGCCGACTTTGGATCATGGACAAGGGGCACCAAACATTGAAAGGAGAGCAGCGTTCCACCCGTTTCAACAAGGTGCCAAATGTTGAAATCTGCAGCAAGAAAAGTCAATCAAAGCAGAAGGTAGGGGAACCATCGACATACAGCCTCTCGGCCAATCCCCAAAATCTTGCACGATTTTATTCGCTTGTTCCTTGCGCCAATCCCACCCTTGCAACTTGTCCTGGAGTTTGGTGACTGGTTACCACAAATTGCTTTATAGCCATCATATGCAAGTTGCTTAGGGGCATAACGGGCGTAAGGGGCGCAGCGTCAGGGGAAAGGCTTCCTGAGCAAACCCCATGTGATAATTCTGATTTGCTTGCCTTTCCAGTCCTACTCTCAAGCTGAGAACCAAACAATTCGCTGTGTCCCAAATGCCATGATGAAGCTTGCCTGCATATCCCATTACGTAACCCTAGGAAACTCGCTCAGCATTGGCAACCGAAAAGTGAGGTGATGTTTGTTTCACTGCCCTAAAGCTGAAATGTAGGGACTCCTGGCAACTGATTGCACCACTCCGGCACTGATGGCACATGCAAAGCTGATGAACATCTCTTGTGAAATCTGAGGGCGTGGCATGCCTTGCATGTGGAACTTCAGTTCAGCTGGCGACTGCTGCCACCTGGGCCAAAGGGCCGAAGTGGCCGTGGTTGTCAAAACCAATGGGATACCATTTTGGGGTAGGTGAACTCACCACCCATTTTAGAACCTATTTTAGTGGGGATTGGGATGTTCACTGGGGGTACGGGATTTTGACCCATGGCCAAGTCAGCCGAAGGGCCGAAGTCAGGGCCGAAGAGTCAGGCACTCTCAACTTTGGGTCAGCTCACTTGGCGTACAAGCTTTTTGTTTGTCCGGTCTGCTCCTTGCCCTCGCAATGCGGGGTCTGACAACTCAGCCTGCCAAACAACTTATGCTCTTTGGTCTGGCCGCAAAACTGAGGCACGCAGAACACTTCAGACAGCCCTGCCAGCAAGCTTTTGAGACAGGAAGGCTATGTGAGAACAAAGGTCCAATGATAGAATGCCATGGCCTTCCCGCACAAACTTCTCCCTTGCAAAGGGCTGCGACAAATAAATTCGTGCTACATCCAGCTACTGTTCCTGGAACGCGGCGATCAGTTGCTTGCGGTGCTCTTCATGCAACTTCCCCAGCTTCTCCTGGAAAGGCGGCGACCTGAATCCGATTTGGCTGCCATGCTCGGCACCAAAATCCGAAGGCCAGGACTGGTGGTGAAAGGCCATTGCAGAGTGGTACACCTCGCGCTTCTCCCCCAGCTCACCTTTGTCTGAGTCACCCGAGCCCAGTCGCCCTTTGAAAAGCCGAAGCACTGTGTGCCCGCAGGACCTCCTCCTCGGCTGCTTGCGACAGAAGCGCGACTGCGGAAGCCAGCTCCTGGCACTGGGCCCAGGCAGAACTCCAAACTGCGATGCCTTGATTTCAACCGTCCTGCTTTGCAAAGCGCTTGCCTGGGCAGCAAGAACCAGAATCATTGGGATGCATGCCACGTCATTTGCCAAGCGGCTGCGCGTCTGGGCTGCTAACTTGCGAGCCTTCTCGATTTTCCTTCGAACGCGCAGTGGCGCAGTGACCCACCGCTGTTCTGACACATAAGATAGACGCAAACGCCAAACACATTGCAAGCGTCAAGTCATGGATCTCCCCGTGCAGTTTCAACCTCGGGTCGAACTCCGAAACGCCTTTTTTCGGTTCATCGGGAGGCGAGCTGGGTTTCGGACAGTCGCTCCTGCGAGAGCTCAGCAGGCAACTCTATGCCAGGCAGCATGGGAGGAACGCCTCACATCCGAATGTATCTCAAAGGGGGACCTCTGAAATGGCTGATGTCATTTCGGCCTCCCTTTGAACCAACCCCAACCCCAACAAGGGTACCCTCCAAAAAGACACGCCCAAATCAACAGCCCTCAAGTGCTGCCAGCCGTCCCTTGCCGCATTCGGGCGCTCTGCACGCCTCCAAGCGCGTCCTTCATCATCTGCCTGACGCCTTCCTCAAAGGAGGTTTGGCGACTCAGATTTCCAGAGCAAGTCAGGAGCAGTGGAGTCTCTGAGTGCCGCCAGGGCTCTGCATGCATTCTGACCACCTCGGCACTTTCTTCTGTGATGGTCGCCAGGGTGTCAGAGCTGCACCCAAAACTTGCAAGAACCTCCGCCTGCCAACAGCAAAAATGCCGTCGGAAAGAAATGGGACAAGTATGAAACTTCACGAAGGTGAGGTGCTTGGAACACACGGTTGCTGTCTGCTGCCCTGCTAAAAGTTTGAATTTTAGTGGTTTAATGGAAAACCCATTCGTTGGCAAAAAGTGAAAGTCCTCACATCCAAGCGAAATGCAACAAATAATTGATATCACAAGAGTCGCTTCGTAATCCATGCGCACAAGCCTTTTGGCCCCCCGATGTGCAAGTGTGACTTTGCCCCCAACCTTACGAACAACTTGATGCTTGTTGCGAAGTCCATTCCACAGACGCCAGTTTCCCAAAGAACCCTTCCTGAACCTTCTCGAATCTCTCCGAGATGCGACCTGACCGCAGAATGCCGCATGGATCAGACCGGTGCATCATGGCGATGGCAACTGAGCGGCCAGCACTCTTGCGCCAGCTCTTGTCCTGTTGAGTTGAAAGTCTCAGCAAGAAATGCGGCACGCCCGCCGAGTAATAACCGGACGATTGCTGCAAAGGCAGCAAAACAACAGCCCACGAGCGAGTAACGCTGCTTCTGCGTGGCTCGAAGTGCGTTTGGCGAGGGATGTCATGCGCCGAACCTCACTTTGAAAACTTGGGCGCTCCAATCAAAACATGGGTTGGCGGCCGAAAGTGGGTTCTTGTCTGCGTGTTTCGTGCTGCTTCTGGTGCTGGTGCTGGCGTCTCTTCTATAATAGCTCTTAAAGAAAGAGCAAAATGGCATGTGCTACATGATGATCTATGTCATGCAATCCTAGATCCACTGCAGCATTTCTTAGAACTATCCCTGTTGGCCCACCGATTGCAAGCATTCAGAAACAGAGAAGGAAAAAGATAAACACACCCAAATGTGTAATAAAAATGGATTGGAGAGATATGTAACAAGCCACCTAGATATGTTTGTACCAGTCGGAAAAGATATGAAAGACTGCCACTCCCGTAAAACAAGCTGCTGCATCACTTTCTAAACCTACGGTGTTCCCGAACGAAGGGACATAGATGACATGACATCAGAAACTGCCAGCCCAAGGTCCATTTCAGCAGCTGCTAAGGGTTTACCATGGCTTTGCCGCATACGCCGCATTGCCCATATCCATTTGGTATCATGAGAGCCGTCAGCCACGCTGCGAATCAAGGCTCGGAGCTGGGTATCATCCACTTGGATGCCCTGCGCTTCCAGCTGCTGCCGCACATCCTGGACACCAACGTGGCCGTGGGTGTCAAAAATAGGGTAACCCCCAAATGGGTTGCCCTAGTAAGTGGACACATGGACCAAAACCTGAGGTCCCCTGGTGATTTCATTTTGACCCATACCCACATAGCAGTCACAGGATGTTGAACCGCTCAAAAAGCCAATGCCCAAGACATGTTTCATGGATTTTGTGTTTCGCCCGCTCCATTGCTCCAAAACGGGCGGGGGGGGGGGGGGGGGTTGGCAACGTCATGCGGCTCGCGCCGCAACTTGGCCTTGGCGATGGCAGCCACGTCCCTGGCGATCTGGAAGAGGCGGAGCCGCAACTCTTTCAGGACCTTCTCCAACAGCTCCTCGGCGACCCCGGACACGTGATTGGCGAAAGGCGTGGGAAAATGAGCTGCGGAGCCCAAAATGCGTTGCCGCTTTTGCCCCTGGCATCGTGAAATGCTCCGGCCCATGCCAATCTCATGCAGGACTTCTCGAATTCTTTTGAGGGCACTTGCAGTTCAGCAGTGTCATCTAATTTGGGACCCACTAATTACCAGTACTTACCACTTTGGCGGAAAGGCGCTTTGAGACCAAAACATGTTGTGCCGTCCTCTTCCTGGCTCTCTGCAAGGCAAAAGCCCCATGCAGCCGCTGCCAGAACTCCCGTGGCCGCCAACAACACGCCCGCCCGGGCCATCCTCAGGTCTGAGACACCATGCGCTTGCCGTCGGGTTGGTGATCATCTCTTCGGCCGTTCGGAGGGAAAAACCAAAAAACAAAAACGAACAAAAAGAAACCCGGGGGGGGGAGGCAGAGATGGATCTGAGATGGGTGGAACTCAGCTAACCTCTACCGCTCTTTGCGGCAGGGGCTCGTGGCCGAGATCTCTGACTTAGTTCAGTGCCAAGCGTCCGCGACCAGCCTGCGTCATTGCCGCTGACGTAGTCTTGGAACCTCAAGACTAACTCCCCGATTCTGATTCCATCCCAATGCCGGCCATGGTTTGCCAAAGAGTGGCTCAGCCCAAGCACAGCTGAGGCGGCAGCATCTCGGCCGGCTGTCACGGAGGCTCGAGCCCAAAAGCGCCCCGAGACCATACCGTTTCAAGGAACGCACGCGGAACGCGCGGAGAATTGATCTGATTGAGGCCAGGACAGCGAGAGCTGGGCACTGGGCAGGTTCGGCGCCTTCTTCTCCCAGGGCATCTTGATGTTCCTGGCGAAGCCAGAACTTGGGTGCTGTTGACCCCTGTGCAAAAAGTTTAACTTTTTGTGGGTTTCTTGATTTCCCAAAAAGTTCAAGTCTAAAGATCCAACCCAATATCAGTAGAGAGAAGTAACTTTTGGGACATCCCATCTGAAGCTTCGCCGGCCGCGCGTGATTTTGGTGTCCATGCCTGCGATGTGCGAACTGTCCGAAACCCGAAACCCGGGATTCGGCCCCTTGTGAGGCGAGAACGGGAGGCCCACGAGAAATCGCTAGAGCCCAGCAGGAGCAGCCCCTGCACCTGCGAAACCAAACTCCGGCGGCAGGAAGGCGCTCAGAAGGCCTCCCATGAGGCAGCGGCCGGGTCGTACTCGAAGTGGGCGATGCCAAAGGAAGCCTCTTGTACTTCGGCCGACTGGACCTGGGCTTCGATGGGTGGCAAAATTCCCCTATGCGCGGGCTGAGGAGACTGCCGGCTCCGAAGCATCTGCTTGAGACAAATGTGGCACCTGAGCTGGTCAAAATAGGAAAGGTGACGGGCGTGCAGTCTGCGCAGGGGGCCGTGCACGCTGCCTCAGCAGAAGGAAGTCTTGGACTTCCCGGCAATTTGCGGCATCACGCCTAAGGACAGACTTGCTTGCATCTGGACCTGGACCTCCTACCACTACCCCCCACCACAAAGTCAAGGAGATGCTGCAAGTACTGACCGGCCTTCTGCAAAGTTCTTTGATGAAGACGTTCAGCCCGTTTTTCCTTGCTTCCAGGTATTCTGGTGCAAACCTCGGAAGTGGCAACTCTGCAAACTTGCTGAACTTGGACGTACTGACATGGAGGGGCCCTGGCTGTCTTACCATTGACCTGGGCTGGCGCAGGTGGGAAGACGTGACCACGGCGCACCGTGCTGAGGTTCAGGCTTTTGAGGAATGGCAGGCACTGATGCAAGCTTCTTCTTGAGAATCTGACCGCGCCATACCACGCGAGCAAACGCAAAGCCGCATGAACACGTCAAGACACGTGATGCAAAGCCACGCGTCGGCGCTGAGGAAGCGGCATCTGCTAAAGCTGCGAATTCATTGTACCGCCTGGTTACTGTCCAAGACCTCATTTCCAGACTTGCGAAGCTGTCCTTTGGCTGCCCCTCACATTAACCAGTTGCTGCACTGTCTCTGTGGACAAGCCCAGGGCTGACCATCAAAGAACACGCGTACGATGTAGTCCTCGCACAAGTCACGACACTGGCGATCACATGGGCGCAGCTCTAATCGCAAACTGGGCAGCCGACAACATGTTGGCCGGTTTTCACCAAGGAAACTCTTGCTTTGACAGCCTGCCATGCTTCTTTTCTGGCAAGCACGCGTGAGAAAAAGCAAGCACCATGGCACCAAGCAGGCCAAGGGCAACGTCCAAGCCCTTGCTGAGGACATCCTGCCCACTTCCAGCATCGACGACTTCGAAGCCTTGAATCTCCACGGTGCCAAGGAATCTCACCTACTACCTCTGAGAGCCGTGCGCTCCACCGAAGCGGTGACTGGCACCTGTGCCGTCTGAAAGGCTCACGGGTCGCGAGTCAATTTTCTGACGCCTTCAATTTAGTGGGTCAAAAATAGGGAAACTCCCAACTGGAACCCTAGTAAGTGGAAACATGGACCAAAACCTGAGGTCCCCTGGTGGCTTAATTTTGACCCATACCCATATCAATGTCAAGTGCACTGAGGCCCCTCTCCCCATCCCTCTCCTCTCTCTCTCTCGGCGTGGTTGCCTCACGGCCGACCTTGCGGACTTTGGCCATGATGCCTGAGGCGCCGCCCGGCAGAACAAGCAAAACCAAGATGGCTTCAGACTGCCGAGATTCGCACCCCCGGCAGCATCCAAGTCCCTTCTGAGCCAAGTGCCGGTAAATCAGTTCCATCATGCCAGTGCATCTCAAGACCCCACCAAGCAACCGAACAGAACGCCGCATGCACGCATCAACGAGCTCCGGTGCAAAGACAAAGTGTGACCACATGAATCGCGTTTTAAAGCCTAGCTGTAGCCTGGCCAAATCGATGTTCAGGCACGCGTTTGCGTCCCGCGGGCGGCCCGCTGATCCATTAACCGGCTTTCACCTGCTTTCAGCTGCACGCAGATCCCTTTTCTGGGGGCTTCGGGCGCCTGGACGCGCCTGGACGCGCCTGGACGCGCCTGGCATCCATCAGTGCCCTGAGCTGCGACTCGTTCGTTACATATCCCGGTCCCATCCGGTCCCTCCCCAATTCGAGCAAGCGGCCGAGTTCAGGCCGGAGGAACAGCAGCTGCAGTGGCCTTTGCTGCATCAACTGGAAGAAGTCCTCGGCCTGAAGACAAAGTACGCCATACCCAAATTGCTCACGTTGAGTCAACGCGCGTGGAGTCACATTTGACTTCACCGCATGGCCGCGTCGACGTGTGCACGCGCCAAGTCACATCAGCGCTCGTGAAGTCACATCATGCACCATGAGTTTCGTGCTTCAAACATGCAGCGCTTCTTGGCAGCACGTACATGTCGCTGCCACAGGTGCGACAGAGATGGCAAAAACGTATTGAACACAGCCCTGCCGTTGTGAAGCGGCGGGCGCTTCCGCATCGCGGTCAGCGGCACGTCACGCAAAAAGATCAAACGACCAGCTCGTGCTGCTGAACATGACCTTTCCTAACCCCAAGAAGGCACTCTCTGAGACCAGGCAACCAAAGAACCTGTTTTGCACACGCTTGTCTCTCACCGAACCCTTTCATCCTGCTCATCACTGATACTGCGCGCCGTGCGTGCAACGATCAAGCCCCTACGACCATGAAGCACTCGGCAAATCAAATTAAGTTTCAAGATGCTTTTGCGCGAAGCGGTTTCATCCAAGCGTTGGTGGCAGCATCTGGCATATCTCTTCACACTAACATCGGCACGAGTCAGCGCCTCCGCAAGCCTCCCCAAAGCTACAGCAGCTGCAACGCAAGTGAAAGGGTCACCGCGACTGGCCGAGAAACACCGCAGGCACCGTGAAGCACGACCGTGAACAATGATTTCATCGTGCAAAGCCAGCCCACGTGCGCTGGCAGCGTGCTGGAATCGCTGGAATGAGGCATGGACATGCAAAATCAAAGGGCTCAACCTCAACGCCTTGGCGGTATGAAGTGGGCGATGGTGACACGTGCCATGGCATTCAGAAAGCAAACGGTGCTGCGAGTGCTGCGTTGGCACCCTCATGCAATACAAAACACCACCCCAATCACCAGTCTACTTTCTTCAACTGTGAGTTGAGGGAAGCCTTTCGTTCGCATACCGCGATTGCACTGACACCCGTGCCTCAATGCTGCCAGTATGCTGGCCATTAACGCACAGAAGGCGGCTGCCCTGACCATGTGAAAAGCGGCTCGGAAGGCATTCCCCCCATGTCCCTTCCCTCCAGACCCCAAGAGGACAGCCAAAATGATTGAAAACCGACCCCTTCATTTCCTCACAGGCAACCCCGGACAAGGGTTCTCAAAACTAGGGTACCCCAATAAATGGCTTTCCCTTTGCCAGCCAAAAGGGATGGTAGAATCGACAAGGGGACCGCGAGACGAAACCCGACCTAGAGTGAGAAACAAATTGAGCTACTTTGGCGTTCGATTCGCCAATAAATTAGCAAGTTGTTGGCAACATGGGGTATCTTTCCACTTCTAGTCCCCCGTGAATGTGGGGACTCAACCTTGTTAGCCGGAAATGATCCCCAGTGATTCACCTGGCGAATCAAAGATCCAAGTTACCTCCAAGCCTTCGGCAGTCTCAGAGCCTCAGCTGGGGTGCCCGGGGTGATCTTCTCCACCACCAAATGCCCCGCAGGCGGCAGAATCTTGAAGGCGATGCCTCGGGATCGGATCGATGGACTTGGCGCGTTTTTCTTTGAAATCTTGGGCTGGGGGCTTGGGGGGTATTCTCAAAAAGGGATTGGTCGGCATGAAGAAAGCCCACAGGAAACCATCCATGTCTTGTGTGGGCCCAAACCTTGAAGACACGTTTCCAGAAATGTTTTTTCTCTGATGTGCGTGTACTTGGGGAAAACAAACAGGATCCATTGAGACAATCCTCCCCTTTGGCGAAACCAGCTCGCCCCGAGAGGCGAAAAAGCTTCCGCTTGAGATTTGGCCATGGGTCAACATCCCGGTTATCCCCCAGTGGACATCCCAATCTTAACTAATATAGGTTCTAAAATGGGTGGTGCACCTACCAACAAAAATGGGATCCCATTGCTTTTAACAACCACGGCCATTTCCGAGCCGCCGATCTTCTCCTCCTGCTGGCCCACCTGAAACTCCACCACATCCGTGCCGTGGCCGTAGCCCGCCAGCCGCGCCGGCTCCAGCAGATGCTCGGGCAGCGGGACGGGGCGAATCACGCTGCCGCGCTTCTGGCGCACCATGCCCCAGTTCTCCGGCATGGGCACGTCATCCGAATCGGAGTCTGACTCGATGCCCTTGGTCTGCGCGGGTGAAGTTGCGGTCTCAACACTTGTCACAGGCTCAATGGCCGAATCCTGCGTCTCGACTTGCTCTTTCAGCAACTCTTCGGCAGGCCCTGGGACAGTCTCGACAAGGATTGGCTCGACGGTGCCGCTTGCTTCAACACTGGCGCAGTCAACTGCATACACCTCCAAAGCTGCATCTGCTTCAACTCTGCTCGCCACATCCATCGCTCCAGAAACCAAAAGTGCTTCTGGGGAAGCCAGCTGTGCCATTGGTGCAAGCGCATCAGCATCTACTGGCCCATGGTTGTTACTAATGTCTGCAACGGGCCGCTCAGAACGCAGTTCACCTTGCCATGGGTGCTCTTGCCCCTCTGCTTGCCTCTCTGCTTCCGCATCTGCAGCTGAAACGGACTCGCACTGCCCACTGACCAGGGCGTCGCGCGTGTCCTCGTCATCTGCAGCGAGGCTAGGCTCCTTTGTGACGGCCTGTGTTGCGGGCAAGGTCTCAACACTTGTCACAGGCTCAATGGCCGAATCCTGCGTCTCGACTTGCTCTTTCAGCAGCTCTTCGGCAGGCCCTGGGACAGTCTCGACAAGGATTGGCTCGACGGTGCCGCTTGCTTCAACACTGGCGCAGTCAACTGCATACACCTCCAAAGCTGCATCTGCTTCAACTCTGCTCGCCACATCCATCGCTCCAGAAACCAAAAGTGCTTCTGGAGAAGCCAGCTGTGCCAGCGGTGCAAGCGCATCAGCATCTACTGGCTCATGGTTGTTACTAATGTCTGCAACGGGCCGCTCAGAACGCAGTTCACCTTGCCATGGGTGCTCTTGCCCCTCTGCTTGCCTATCTGCTTCCGCATCTGCAGCTGAAACGGACTCGCACTGCCCACTGACCAGGGCGTCGCGCGTGTCCTCGTCATCTGCAGCGAGGCTAGGCTCCTTTGTGACGGCCTGTGTTGCGGGCAAGGTCTCAACAGTTTTCCCAGGCTCAATGGCCGAATCCTGCGTCTCAACTTGCTCTTTCAGCAACTCTTCGGCAGGCCCTGGGACAATCTCGACAAGGATTGGCTCGACGGTGCCGCTTGCTTCAACACTGGCACAGTCAACTGCATTCACCTCCAAAGCTGCATCTGTTTCAACTCTGCTCGCCACATCCATCGCTCCAGAAACCAAAAGTGCTTCTGGGGAAGCCAGCTGTGCCATTGGTGCAAGCGCATCAGCATCTACTGGCTCATGGTTGTTACTACTGTCTGCAACGGGCCGCTCAGAACGCAGTTCACCTTGCCATGGGTGCTCTTGCCCCTCTGCTTGCCTCTCTGCTTCCGCATCAGCTGACACGGACTCGCACTGCCCACTGACCAGGGCATCACGCGTGTCCTCGTCATCTGCGGCGAGGCTAGGCTCCTTTGTGACGGCCTGTGTTGCGGGAAAGGTCTCAACACTTGTCACAGGCTCAATGGCCGAATCCTGCGTCTCGACTTGCTCTTTCAGCAACTCTTCGGCAGCCACTTGGACAGCCTCGACAAGGATTGGCTCGACGGTGCCGCTTGCTTCAATACTGGCACAGTCAACTGCATTCACCTCCAAAGCTGCATCTGCTTCAACTCTGCTCGCCACATCCATCGCTCCAGAAACCAAAAGTGCTTCTGGAGAAGCCAGCTGTGCCAGCGGTGCAAGCACATCAGCATCTACTGGCTCATGGTTGTTACTACTGTCTGCAACGGGCCGCTCAGAACGCAGTTCACCTTGCCATGGGTGCTCTTGCCCCTCTGCTTGCCTCTCTGCTTCCGCATCTGCAGCTGACACGGACTCGCACTGCCCACTGACCAGGGCGTCGCGCGTGTCCTCGTCATCTGCGGCGAGGCTAGGCTCCTTTGTGACGGCCTGTGTTGCGGGCAAGGTCTCAACACTTGTCACAGGCTCAATGGCCGAATCCTGCGTCTCGACTTGCTCTTTCAGCAACTCTTCGGCAGCCACTTGGACAGCCTCGACAAGGATTGGCTCGACGGTGCCGCTTGCTTCAATACTGGCACAGTCAACTGCATTCACCTCCAAAGCTGCATCTGCTTCAACTCTGCTCGCCACATCCATCGCTCCAGAAACCAAAAGTGCTTCTGGGGAAGCCAGCTGTGCCAGCGGTGCAAGCGCATCAGCATCTACTGGCTCATGGTTGTTACTACTGTCTGCAATGGGCCGCTCAGAACGCAGTTCACCTTGCCATGGGTGCTCTTGCCCCTCTGCTTGCCTCTCTGCTTCCGCATCTGCAGCTGACACGGACTCGCACTGCCCACTGACCAGGGCGTCGCGCGTGTCCTCGTCATCTGCGGCGAGGCTAGGCTCCTTTGTGACGGCCTGTGTTGCGGGCAAGGTCTCAACACTTGTCACAGGCTCAATGGCCGAATCCTGCGTCTCGACTTGCTCTTTCAGCAACTCTTCGGCAGCCACTTGGACAGCCTCGACAAGGATTGGCTCGACGGTGCCGCTTGCTTCAATACTGGCACAGTCAACTGCAGTCACCTCCAAAGCTGCATCTGCTTCAACTCTGCTCGCCACATCCATTGCTCCAGAAACCAAAAGTGCTTCTGGGGAAGCCAGCTGTGCCATCGGTGCAAGCGCATCAGCATCTACTGGCTCATGGTTGTTACTGTCTGCAACGGGCCGCTCAGAACGCAAATCACGTTGCCATGGGTGCTCTTGCCCCTCTGCTTGCCTCTCTGCTTCCGCATCTGCAGCTGAACCGGACTCGCACTGCCCACTGACCAGGGCGTCGCGCGTGTCCTCCGCATCTGCGGCGAGGCTAGGCTCCTTTGTGACGGCCGGTGTTGCGGGCGATGTCTCAACAGTTTTCCCAGGCTCAGTGGCCATATCCTGCGTCTCGACTTGCTCTTTCAGCAACTCTTCGGCAGCCACTTGGACAGCCTCAACAAGGATTGGCTCGACCGTGCCGCTTGCTTCGTTTATAGGCTTTGCCGCGCTGCCTTCTTCGCCTGGCTCGTAGCATTCATCCTACGCTTCACGGTGCAGAAACTAACATTCACCAGCCCACCTTCAGGCAACGCCTCGCATGTGCTTTCCATGGTCGGGAAGCCCAGTATCCTTGGTGCAGTTGACAAAAAAAGCCTACATAATTCGCTTGGCTGAGCTCGATTCGGAACATCTTCGAGTGCTTCATCCTGGCTGTCCTTGGCTTCGAGCGCTTCATCCTGGCTGTCCTTGGTGCGCATTTGCTGACTTTCTGATATTTTGTCCTCGCAAGTTGCTTCAAACAAACATGGGCTCGCCTCATCGAGCGCCGGCGCATGTCCGCCTCAGGGATTTTTCGCATGCCCTTTGCAGCGCCGATGTGGGCTCGGTGCTGGCAGGCATCCGTCACCCGACAGGTCCAACGACCAGCTCCGGAAAAGGCTGCCAGTCTCCCAGCTCTCCCTCAATGCCTGCGTGAAATTCGCAACTCGCCAAAGGCTGACTCCAGATTAAGAAGCCACTGCTTATAGGGGTGTTGTTGGGTTTCGTCGGGAATCATCACTTTTGCCGTGGAACCCCCCCTTTTTTTCACAAACAGTTTATTCATCCGGGTCAACATTGTAGAGAATCGCGAAAGGGGCTCGCTCGCCTTCCAGGTCTCTTGCAGCGCATCCGACTCGCCGGGACCTCACCCACTTCCCCACTCCCCCGGCCTCAAACACGAGTTCCCCGACTGAGACTCCCACCCACGTCGGAGGCGCTCCGGGGCCTTGGGCGACCACCTCGTTTGCAGAATTCGCTTCTTTTGTTCAATGGGGGGGCTGCCAAAAAAGAAAACACGGGCGGATGGCCTGCGGAGACCCCGAAGTTAAACATGGAGTTCCTGAGCAAGGAAGTTGTGCATAGCTGGGCATAGCTGGACCCGTGCGTTCGAACTTCGGCCTGCCCGGCGATTTGCTTAAAGGAGAGAACTCGCCACGCAGGTGCTTGGCTTCAAACCTCTGCGAGCGCATGCGAGCGCTAGGCTAACAAGTGACTCTGTCGGGTTACGTGCGCTCTCACGCGCTCAGCCGCTCAGCCGCTCGGCTGCTGGCCTGCTTTGCTTCTGCTGCATACGTTTCAGCTCTTTGCTCTGCGCCTTGCCCAAGGCACGGGGAATCAGCTGGCAATAGCTCCGTCGATTCGGAACACCGATGCTTGGCACCACTCCTCCTTCAGCCGACTGCTTGCACCAAAGTCCTCGGGAGGGCTCTCAGAACTATGGGCAACCCTTGTGGCTGTACAAAATCAGACTGCAACTCAGCATGCTTCCGAGCCTTCTTGAGGACGCCCTCGACCGATTTGACGGCGTTCATGCAAGAGCTTACACGGTCATCGCCCATATTTCGGGTAGAGAGCTTTGCAGCATCCAGAATTGCTCTGACACGGGCAATCCGGCTGAAGTCGCCTAAGCTCCAAGAGAGAGGCCCCACAGCTGACTTGGGACCACCTGCCTCCAAACACTTCATCGAGATGTTTCCGACCTGGATCTGGCTCGGAGAGCATACCCAGCATGAAGTCCTGCCGGCGGGTCTTTGTGATGTTGCAACTTGTGGCCAGCACTTGCTAACTGCCATGAGAGATGCAACCAGCTCCCGAGCAGACTCAAAGCTCACCAGAAGATTGTGCTCAGGATTGGCCAACCTGAGTGCATGCATGGCACTTGGGACAGCACTTCGTTTCAGAACCCTGCTAAAAAGATATCCTAACGTTTTTCCGAATGAAAGGCGTCAACCCAGGATTGTCTAGTCCTCTCAAAATGGGAGGCTGCTTTGCTTTGGAAGCCACGCAGGGGGCCACTTTCGCGACCTAAGGACAGATCTCAGCCCCAGGCTTCACCGTGCTACCCCGCGCAGCATTGACCTGCCGCCATGCCACCTGCGAGAAAAGTGGGCAGGACGTGTCTTCCAGCGGCAAAACGTGCGGCCTCCATGACCTGCAGAATGTTGTCCATGGCCTCCGAGGTCCTAGCGAAAAGAAACGGTTCAGCAAGGGACGGCCCTCCTTTGGTGCGGTCCGGGGAGGGTTCAGCAAGCCCCGCTCGCACGGGATGAAGAGGCTCAGTCTCGGCTGCTTTGGAACATATTCACGGCCCACGTTGCCCAGGCCTCAGCTGAATCAGCAAAGAACCGGCGCTCTGGCCAAACTCGGTTGCTTTCTGCTCCCCGGCTTTTGGCAAAAAGTTAAAGTCCTAACATCCAAGCAAAATGCACCAAATAAAACTGTTTCTTGCTTCACCGCTTCTGGGCGAGGCACTGCTGGCACGGGCGCTGGAGCCACTCCGAGCCACCATGGCAGCGCAGGGCGCATGGGCCCCAGCCAGCGTAGCGCCGCATCACGGCACGCAGTGCGCGACTAAGGTCACCGAAGCCAAAAATATGTTTCCCTGGAGCGGGTTGCTGTGATCGCTTTCATAACATGCCGGCATGCTTCTTGCGGCATGCGTCCTTTCTGCCTATCTGCCTCTGCTAAGAGCCCAAGCTGAGCCCAGTGGCACACCACGCATTTTCTCACAGTGACGGGATGGCACCAAGCATGAAATAAACGTATTGCCCCGGGGGCGGCCAAGAGACTACTGAACAGAGCAGTGAAACAAGATGAAACAAGTGCTCTTCTGCTGAATGCACCCTAGCGATCACCCGCTCGCCCTCGCCAAATCTAAGCCGCGCTTGCTTCCGCGTCCGTTCGGCATTGCGCAATTGTTTGTCAAGTCCTCAGCCCACCTGCTTCAGAGCGCTAGCGCAGCTTTGCGCACGGGCCTGCCAAACGATAACCCACTTCAGATTACCCGCCTAGGACGACGTTTTGCGTGCCCGCAAGCTCGTTCTTTGAGCCTTGCACTAGCGCCTGCCACATGATAAGCGCGCCTCCGGAGTGGCGTTGCGCACACGTCTGCCAAAGATATCCAAAGATATTATAAACGCACTCTTCAACCTTGAGGGTTTCTCAAAATGGATTGCGGCTCCTGCTGGTTTCCTTATTCAAAAGAAACCACCCGTTTTGGGGGGACCCCCCCCACACGACAGCTCGCAACACCTCCTGTTTGCAACCTTCCCTAACCCGGGTGAAATGAATGCGGCCGAATGGATGGATGTACGTATCAACACCCGCAGGACATCAGCCAAGGGCCCAGAAAGGAGTTGCAAGGTTGCTGAGTTGTACCCCGAAAACAGGGTTCGGACCAAAGGCTCCGACATGGTCTTCTCCAGGGAATCCCTTCAATTGCCTAGACCGTCAAGCAAACGCACTTCCCAAAACCACAGACTTCATGGGAATGGGGGAATCCCTCCACTTTCAAGTAACCCAAATATGGATGCTGATGTGGCTTGTATTATGGCAAGAAGGTTGCGGGACTTTTTGGGGTTTTCAATTTCGTGAACCACCCGACAAAAGCTGCGCACCACGCATTTTGCAGCTCACTTTCGCTCCCGACTTTGGCTTCACCAAAATACAACGTGCTGATTTGCCTTCAGGTCTAGCGCACGCTTCAGAGGCTCGGTTGCAGCAGGCGCCAGTGTGCATTTTGTGGAAAGGTCAATGACCTAAGTGGTGCCCAAGTCACCGCAGGTCATTTCAGAATGCGGTTGGCAGCCAATTCAATTGAAGGGAGTGAGCAGGTCGGCGTGACGTCCAGCTGCAGCACATCATAACCAATGACACTAGCAAAAGGTTTCAACTTGACGCCAGCACTTAAGCTGTGCGTCATCGCCTAGATGCCCTGCCAATGAGTCGTCGTCCAAAGTCCCTGCATGTTCCTGCTGACCATCCCCAACACCTAGTGTGCGTGTGTGATATGAAAAAGCAAATCGCTCAAAACGCTTTCCATGGAAAGGGGCGGAATGAGGAGTCAGGGCAATGGCAACCCAGGCCTTTCGCATGAAAGAACAGCAAACAGCAAACGCTTAAAATTCAGGCTTTCCTTTTGCTGCACTGCAAAACCAGCCTGAAACAAAAACATAACCAGGCACACTCACCCACACACCGCCCGCCCTCCCGCGCGCCTGGACGCCCACACGCCTACACGCGCACAGGGGCACACGCGCACGGGCGCACACACACACACACACAAACACAAACACAAACACACACACAAACACACACACACACACCAACACACAAACACACACACCAACACACAAACACACACACAAACCAACACACAAACACAAACACACAAACACAAACACACAAACACAAACACACAAACACAAACACACAAACACAAACACACAAACACAAACACACAAACACACAAACACACAAACACAAACACACAAACACACAAACACACAAACACACAAACACAAACACAAACACAAAAACAAACACACAAACACACAAACACACAAACACA